GGGAGAAAAACACCTGAATGAAGTAGCAAAGTTGTCCAAAGAAGCTAAAGCAAAACTTGAAAAATCTATTGAAGCTTTAGAGCAAAGACGATGTTATCTACAATACTGGAAAGAAGCAACTGGGAAAAACTTATCTTGTCAAGAATCATCCAAATCAGCCTTTGTGTTGTCATATGTCAAATTGGAACAGATATTTCAAAAAGTGAGAAAGCTTGAAATGTCAAAGTTAGAAATTGGAATGAAGTCTACGATGCATAATCATGTCAGAGAACTGATTGATCTACCTTGTTTAACTGAAATTTCTCTACAGGAGTGCAAAGAATCTGTGATTCTAAAGGATCTTAGTATGAAACATGCTAAAGTTCAAATAATTTCTGACTTTAAAATCAAAGGTGCTGATTTACAGGGTGGAGTTTTTCTACGAAATAATGGACTTTTGCTGACTGACCATGTGCAGAAGAAACTAATACGCTGTAGAACAGATGGGGTTATTTTGAAAGAAGTAGCTTTCCAAAACAACCCATGGGATGTTTCTCTTTGTAGTGAGAATCACATCTTTGTTACATTTCCTGAAATCAAAGAGATTCTGCTAATGAAAACTGATTCACTCGATATAGTAAAACGGATCACCTTTGACTGTAAATGCTTTGGAATCTCACAGTCAGGTAATACTATTGCAGTAGGTTGTCTCTCAGCAGTAGAAGTATTGGATATGAATTTTCAGAAGTTGAGAAAAACGAATAATGTAAACCGTGTATATGATGTAGCTGTGGATATGGAGGAAAACATCATTTATTCCAGTTTCAATGATAACTTCGTCAGAAAAGAAAACAGAAAAGGAAATGTTTTGTTTACATACAACCATGAGGAATTAAAAAGCCCATATGGATTAACAGTGGACAGGTTTGGGATGATATACGTGAATAGCATGGGAAAAAGTAACATACATATTCTGACACCGAAAGGAAAACAATTAAGAATTCTGAATGAAGTGGGAAAACCCCAGTGCATCAATTTTCAGGAGTACAATAATCAGTTTTTTGTTGGTGAGGAATCTGGTCGAGTCAAAATATTTCAATACAATGCATGAAAATAAGAATGAGTTTGTGACTTTTGTCCATTTCCAAGGACTGCATCCATATAGATGAATATTTTATTCAATTGAATAGTTATAATTGATATAAAGGAATGTGTATAAAGACAATGCATGAAAGAAATCATGTTTTAATTTTTTTGCTTAAACAGCTTCAACTTTTGCTAACTTTCTGACACTTGTTTCAGAAATTAGTTTTCATTTCAAATTTTTTTAATGTTGGTGGAATATTTAATTTTATGTTTTTGGACTACATGGTAATATGTTTGATAAAAATTTAGTTATCACATACGAAAATGCTTTCTTACAGTTTTGTAAGCTTCTCTATCCTTTTGGGAAAAAAAGGAGATTTTTTTTCTACATGGTTATGTTAGGACTAGACACTAAATATTTGTACATGTTGAACATATTCATTAAGACTTCATTTCAGGTTAAGCAACCATAATAAAAATATATTGGTCCCACCTTACATGTTTTGCGTCTTTACTGAACCTTGTTTACCATCATGGTCGCCGGGCATACTAAATACAAAAATTGCAATCAAATCCCAATAGCAATTTTTGTCTTTACAATTTTGAAATAGTCATTGCATGGATTTCATTTTATTCAGAGTATGGTGATAAAGATTCTGAAAAGTATCAAGTAAAGTTTACTACATCAAAAATACACAAGGTCAACGCCAATGCATTTTTGGAAACTACCTGCTAGGATGTCAGAATTACTTACCTGCATATGTACATGTAGACATACAGTCTCTACCAGAGTTGTCGTTCGCTTCACTACAACACGAATAAGTGGAACGATAACTCTGGGTAGAGATTGGTAGACATAAAACTGATATGAGGCAAAAAAAAATTATTCAAGGGAACAAAAAATTAAGAATTAATGGATATTATCATTTTATTGAACAGGTGGCTTACAAAAGGTATAACATGCTTCAAAAAAAAAACAAAAAAAAAACAAACAAACCCAGAAGTCTCTGTTGAGACTGTAGCTCTACTGGTTTATACTTAAAACAAAGGAAGAGAAAAGTAGCAGTTGGGACTTGAGACTTCAAAACAGCAATAAATAGAAAAATGATCCTTGTCACTCATCAAAATAAAAACGATGCACAGAATAATTGTATCTTAGCATAGTCTTTTTGTATGCCAAGTTATATGGAAATCAGACCAAAACTGTAGGAGTAGAAGCAATTTGAAAGAATTTCTCGGAAATTTCTATTTTTAGTAACCATGTCATTACCATTCATCGAAATCAAAAACCGATGCACAGAATTATGTATCTTAGTATAGTCTACTTGTGTGCCAAATTATATTGAAATCATACTAAAACTATAGGAGGAGTAGTATTTTGAAAGAATTTCAAAGAAATTTCTATTTTTAGTAACCATGGCAACACCGTTCATCAAAATCTAAAACAGATGCACAGAATTATGTATCTTAGTGTAGTCTACTTGTGTGCCAAGTTATACTGAAATCAGACCAAAACTGTAGGAGGAGTAGCATTTTGAAAGAATTTCACAGAAATTTCTATTTTTAGTAACCATGGCAACACCGTTCATCGAAATCAAAAACCGATGCACAGAATTATGTATCTTAGTGTAGTCTACTTGTGTGCCAAGTTATATTGAAATCGGACCAAAACTGTACGAGGAGTAGCATTTTGAAAAATTGTTTACAGACGGACGGACGACGGACGCATTACTATCGCATAAGCTCTTCTGGTCTCTGACCAGTAGAGCTAAAAACTGCCTGCCGCATTGAATTTTTTGGCCTGATAAACAATTTTTTTTGGCCTTATGGCAAGTTGGAATTTACAAATGTACATGTCTGCACTATTACCCTCCATACAAACCTACATATACTTGTGGAAGCCTTGAAATAAAGAACTAACTTAATGCACTGTATAATTTGTATAATGAGCATTCATATAAGTTTGATATTTGACTGTCTTTCATGAGATGTTTTTTTCATTCAGAATTTTCATCTTGCTTAATTTTCTCCTTCCTATAATTATTTTTTGTTGGAAGTTACCACGGTAAGTTGAAAATAACCCAAAGGGATTGGAGAAGTTTAAAATGCAAAAAGTGTACAGATATAAAAATAAGCCCATTCTTTTTTTCCCATTTTGACTTTCAAACAGAATTTCAATCAGGTAATCACAGATTACAGAACTCACCTCAACAAATGTTGTCTGTTGACATTAAACAACACACAATAAATCCATGCATGTCTGAAATTGCAGCAGGAATTATAGTAAAGGGTATAGAAGTAATTAAAAAGAAAACTGCTCCAAAAACCTTGACCTGGGATGCTGACTTCAAGAGAATCACATACGCTCCCCAAACTTCGTTGATGTGAGCTAATTAATTGACATTTAATGCAAAGAAAAATGACCAAGGATTGACCAAAAAGAATATGAGAAAATAAAATAAAACTCAAATACTATGTTATGAAAATTTTATTTGTAAATTGTTCAATATACACAAGTACATGTATAATACTTCCTATTAAATCTATAGGCTGTACTGCAATTCATCATTAAAGAAAGTAGTCATGTTTAAAATAGTATCACATACAATTAAATTCATTAAAATTAATCATTTCCACATAACAACCACTCAATTTGTCCATTTTATAAGTTTTTCACATCTTTACACTTTGATGAGAAATATATATGATTTTATTAACAGCAAACATGAGCAAGGATCCTTTATAAAACTCTATCAGTAAAATTTGTATCTTTTATGAAAATATATTCAGATCAGTTGATTGGATTCACTCAAAGGTCATTCAACAAAAAATCCTATAGTTGTGCATGTAAATGCCATTACTTGGTATGAGGTGCATCATAAATTCTGGTTTTGTCTCGTTCTTGATAAGCAAATTGCATTGGCGGAACCCAGGGGTTTTTCTCTCCGTTACACTGAATTGAATGGGTTCCGACGGCAAATTGATGATGTTCATTATTGATTGGTTCACTTATACGTGTCAACATAAACACAGTAACATAATGTTCCAGACAGAAGAGCCTGAGTTGGTGTCTTTAGGGGTTAAGACTTTAAGGAAGGAGATATGTGGTGGTGAGGAAAGTTTGATCGTCCATAGCCAGATAGTCCGACTATGGCACGCCAAATTCACAAAAATGAGCTAATCATAGTTTCACAGTCGATAAACTAGGTTTATCGGTTGTAAACTATAGTTTACAGACTGTAAACTAAAGTTAACAACGTTAATCTATATTTTACTTCTGTAAACCATAGTTAACGCGATAATCTATGTTTCACAACCGTAAACTATACTTAACACCGAAAACGATCATTTGCGATTGCAAAACATAGATTATCTAATAAATACAGTTTAATGATTTGTAAACTATAGTTTACAAACCGTTAACTATAGTTAACGATCTGATAAATATAGTTTCACGATTTGTGAAACTATGATTAACAACTCTTAACTATAGTTTACGATTGTAAACTATAGTTTACAAACGTGAATCTATGTTTATCAACAAAATCTATTGTTAACGCTTTATTCAGACAGATAAACTTAGATTAGCATTCGTAAACTAGAGTTAACGACCGTTAAATATAGTTTTACAGATGAAAACTATACTTCATGATTCGTTAACTATACTTAACGAATCGTTAACTATAGTTTACGGTTTGTAAACTATAGTTTACAGTCGATAAACCTAGTTTATCAATTGTGAAACTAGGTTTATCTCATTTTTGTGAATTTGGCGTGCCATATCCGACACATTCATTTAGCTCAGTTGGAAGAGCACCTGATTGGAGATTTTGAGGCTCGCCAGTTTAAATCCTAGTTTGGTCCATTGCATTTTTACCCTTTCCTATTATACTGTGCACTCCCTTAATTCCATTTCCAATAATAAGTACATAAAATTCATGTTACATCTTGATCTAATCAGAAACTTCCCATTTTCCTACATCCACCATGGATTGAATTAAAGTGAAACTGTTATTTTAAGGTTGCAGTCACTTATATGAGATGGGAGTGCAGAGTCCATAGTTACCAAACACTGTTTGTGGCTGTTGGAAAACATGCATGGTTCTCTCTCTCTTTGATGTTTTCTCAATCATATTGTCAATATGTTGTATGGTATAAATTTTCATAGGTCACAGCAATATTATAAATAAATAACATAAATAAAACTCATTGCAACTAGATAGGTGGTCTCTCCATCACTGATTCTAACATGGTGGAGCTGTTGATGATTGCAGTGGTAGCTATGATGAAGATGTAACCTGTAACAAGAAAATGCATTAATTAAAACATGAATTTCCCAAAATTTTAGTAAATTTTAACTGAAAAAAAAAATCATACTCATACACATTCAAAGTGATTGACTGTTACACAAAATTTCTGTTTAGAAGAACATAAAAAATCTTATTTATAACAAATTTATGATTTAATTAAAGTATCCTACCTTTGAGTTTACCTAGGAATCTGAGGGCCGTTATCTCGGAATAAGTACAGCCTCCAAGGAAATATACCAGGACAACTTTACTGACTGGGCGGTCCTGTCTGGCGGATTTACCTGTTAATTGGATTAATTAATTAAAAAAATTATCAAAATTTCAGGTATTATAGCTTTGTCAAGATTTTACAACTGTAAATAAAATGAAATATGTTCTCCATACAAATACAAAAGTTGCCATCAGACTTTGTTTGTTTGTTTGTTTTTTTGATAATTAAGGTGGGCTAACTGTCCAGTGCACTGGCATCAAAAAGTTTTTGGTTCGAGCCTGGCATAGGGCGTTAATTTTTTTTTTTCATGCAAACAACCATTTATTTTGTCAGTTTTGCTTTATGTACCGATATATTAAAATTTTGAATTAGATTAATTTTGGTTCAGTTTGGTTCTCGAGTGAAATCAATTCTAATCTTCTATTCTATATAATGTACCTGTACACGCATCATGCATCTATATGCATTAAATATTTTAGGTGTTTATTTTTTTTGAAACATTACTAGGTTATAGTACCCCCTAGGAAAAACGGACAAAAATGTTACAATATCACACTTTCAAACTAATTGAAAAAAACCTATGGACGTGTTTGTAAAATCTGACAAGCTATGTTCAGCCAACCAAATCATGGACATTTAAACCATAAATGTTTCGTACAAATGATTCCTGCAGATCACACGCCAAATGCGCCCATCTTCTTATCCAGAGATTAAATAAATACCTGTACTGAATAATTTTTTATTGTCATATTTTTTTTTACCTTCAATATTTAAAACATGGATTACAAAAGCTTTAAGTTTTAATCTAGATAATGATAGTGAACTTAACATTGAAAAAAAAAAAAATTACCAAAACAGTAATAATTAAAGCTGTTTGCAAATTATCATGCAGCAATTACACAATATAAGATAAAAAACAAAAACATCTTGGAACCTTAACCACAAACCAAGAAATTTGACATAAGGTTAATAAACATGAGGTTTGCACACACCTAAACACCGTGGTTCTAATGCCAGGTAAATGTATTCCTAACTATATAAGCAGGAATAAAAGGCTGACTGTTCTCGAATGCAGTATTGATATTTTCAGGGGTGTATATATAAATATGTAGGCCCTTTATGCTGTAAATATGTTGTTAATAAGTGCAAAATACAATGCATATTTATGGAAAATTTAAAATTGGTAAATAGGATTTTTAGTATGCATGTACTATTTAAAAAAGCAACTTCTGTAACACTATAAAAATATCAATTCATACCTGATCTGTCTTTTGATGTGGTGCTGCTGTCTGGATTAAAGTATGTATAATAATGTGAATGGTTGTGTTGGAATTGTAGATGAATTTTTGGAACCAGTTATCACTTCAAAATTATATCATATACATGTTTGTTCATGCAAAATTATATGAAGTACATTTTTGTTGGTTACCAAAATTATCTAATTTCTCGAAAAGCTGACTTGTAAAATAAACCCAGGTAAAGGATTAATATTTCATTTGTTTTCTGAAATTGGTGAATGGTTAGCAAATATTCCACCTTCCATCCTTATTTTGAATGATGCATAGATTTTTTTATTGCCACAATTAAATTATCGGTACTCCTTTTATCTACCTATAAATTTGTGAGAACAAGAAATCATTTTTATTGCAACACTGTTGAACATTGAAGTTATAATCTGATTTCTGACTAAAGAACAGAACATGAAGGAATACACTTTAAATAAAAATCTATACTGTGGTTGATTTATAAATGTGATCAGTTCTATTAGTGCGACAAAAAATTTCATTAAAGCAGAGGAGGAAAAAGATAGAAGCATTCTACTTAAACTACAACCAATAAATGAAGAGGCAGCAAATACAATAAAATAAAGAAAAACATAAAATATGTTGCACAAGGTGACAAATTTTGGGATCAAAAAAATCTTGTTCCTATTTGATGATTTTCTTAATATTAATGGAAAATAATGAAAACCTAGTGTCTAGCTTTATAAGCACTGAATATGAATGGACTTGTAATGAAGCATTGGTTATACCTTTTGATGCTTTGACATGGTTTTCACTGTGAACCCCTCCTGGCAGGTATTTAGTGATTTCTTCCATACCAGCAAAACTCCCTCTGGTTAATATCTGTAAATTCATACAATGCTACAGGTTTCAAAAGTTTCAAATGAATTGTCATTTTTATTTGTTCCTGCCAAAATATATTAAACCTACACTGTACCTCATCAACTTTTAAGAGAACATTGCAAAGGTTCAATCAATACCAGTATAATGTGATTCAAAAGTTATAGAAATGTGTCAAATAGTCAGCGTCATCAACTATGGTCCATACATTGTATTTATAACTATGAAAAATTTACCTAACCTAGATAAAAATGGACAGTGCTAATTTCATAATATAACTTCTTTACAAATGATCATTACCTTAAAATGAATTTTAGTCATAATTTTTTTTATCTTTAATCTAAGACTTCATTAAATTTCGATGAAGAAAGATCTTTATATACCTGTTCGACTAGTTTGCAGGACAAAGGTGTGTAGGCGCCACTAAACACATATGACATGTCTGTAGGGTTTTTCAGATCAATGTCATCTGACTTGGGAATCTGTCATTAATAAACAAAATCAATAAACAAAAAAATTTCTGTCTTAATTGAATCATAATTACACTTTTATTAGACAATTACAGTTTTGTTTCTCTAGACATTTTGAATTCTATATACAATTAATTTTTCTGGATTGAAGAAAAGAATTTTTTGAAAAGATTTTAACATTATAGATATATACATACACATGTATTAGGCTTTGATATTTAAATGTCTAGACTTTTCCAATTCTATATATGATTAATTTTCTGGGTTTTGAGAAAAGAATTTGAAATGATTTTAACATTTACATGTATATACAAAGATGTGGGATATTGTCTATTTGTATATGAATTAGCCAAATGCATCTCATAACAGATTGAGTAAACTAAGTTCCTAGTAATACATGTACATTTTACCCTTCCCTGATAACAGGCACTTACCAAAGAGAGTTTTTTACAAAGACTTTGGAATGTACTTCTTCGTGTAATGGCAGCCATACCAGACGTGACCTTGTTGAGAGGCGTGGCGGCCTGACTTCCTGTTTCCTGTTCTGTCAGGATACCCAGCAACTTCAGGTTGGAAAAAGTGATCAGCTGCTCAAAACCATGACTCTAAAAATAGAAGCATTACAAGCCATATATTTTACATGTACAGTGTAATCTTTACACTTCATGCATGTATGTCAGCTGCCTGGGAATTGATAAATTGGCTGCGATCTTTAATATTAATGCATGAAAAACTACAGGAGAATTGATCTTTGAAAATATCAATATGTATGCACTTGAACAAATCATTTTTTATGATTAATATCTGAATGCCTGCATAAATATTCAAATATTACCTGTAGATAGTGGGTCTTGAGAGTTTTATATGTAGAGGAAGGTATTCCATTCTGAGTGAGGGACAGAAGACACATGAGCTTTAATGTCTTCAACATGTTATCCTGTATAAAATATCACAATATTAATATTCATAATTAAAAAATAGACTCTTTAAATATAGAGTACTTAAATCTCCACAGACACATACATTGGACAATAGCTCCTGACCTTTCACTTGGCAGAGTTGTGGAAAACTTTTTCAGATAGTCGGTCATTTGGACCGGCAAGAAAACAAAATAAGCCGGTCCGAAGTGATTTTTGTCAGTCCGAAATAGTAAGTCACAAAATGAAAAAAACCCTTAATATTTATTCACTTTATAACATCTTTTTAATAAATCATGTTAATAATGATACAAAATTCAGTCTCCATTTCCAAGTCCTCTTCCGTTTTCTTTTAATTTTGCATTTATAACAATATTTTTTGCACTAGATTCCAACGCTTTTGGGCAGGTCACAATGCTAATTCAGCATACTGAGTGTAATAATATTTAAAAAAAAAAAAACATTTATGGATTTTGGAATTATATAAACCTAGAGAATGGGTCTAGAAATTGCAAAAAATCTTTGCATCGATAATTAGTGTTAAATCAAAAGCAAACTAGCATGGCGCGGCGCCATGCCCTTTTTTCTCGGCGCCATGCCCTTTTTTCCAGCGCCATGCCCTTATTTCCTAACCAAAAATTAATAAATATGCCCAGTTGAGGTAATATTCCTTAGGTGCTCTGTTTATTCAGTGCATGCTGATAATCCCTTTGTTTATATCACGACAGGAAATCACTTTTTGACGGTTGAATATAGTACGCACACAGCCACCTGGCTAATTAACATGCCTCAGGCTGTCAGGGTAGAGGATTTAACTTGAGAGACTGTCATTTGATTGCATTGATTATGCAAGAATTAGCCCAAGACCATAGATAAATTAACTTGTAAGCTATTAACTAATTAAAAGCAGGATCGTTTTTTTTTTTAAACCGAAAGTAGAATAAAACACACTTGATCATGTTGGTTGAATATTTTCCAAGTAAAGAGAATGGTCTCTACATGTATTTTCCAAAATGCCCCTCCCCCATCCCTGGAAAAAAAGTATTTTTTTTCAATGTTTTAATTGACTGTACTAGTACACAAATAACACAGTCCAAGCAGGTAAAAAAAATCATACCTCCAAACTTTAATAATTTGTGCAGGTTTCAGCTAGATTCATACCTATTACTTTCACTAGTGTAGCCTTACTAATTTTTGGATTAAAGAAATTGGATGTTTTTATATTCTTTTTGTTCAACAATTGTTATGTCAGCACAGGTGTGCTAATTGTGTTGGTATTTTTTTTTTAAAGTGAATGGAATACAGATATATGAATTTATCTTTTAATTATCATAATAAAGATATCAACACGACCAGTAAAAAAAAAAAAACGAAAATCCGGGGCAGTCGGAAGTACTAGATTTACTGCTTTCCCAACCTGTGCTTGAATTATTTCTGTTGAAATTTTTCATATTTAGCTCCTCTAAACTTTACTTTTTTCTTGGATAACTACCTCATTCTGCCCCAGTTGTAAATTTAATAGGTCACAAGAATCATGCTAATTTCGCTTTCATTTACAGCCTTGATCTCGTTTAAAGAACAGGTATTACGCAATCGCATATAAGGTACGATAATTAAGACGGGAAATGCACAGATGATAAATGGAAAAACGAAAAACTTTAACAAAAAAAAGGCCGGTCATTTGGACAGACATTGATAGAATTTTTACCGGTCATGCGAATTTTTTGTCGGTTTTGCTGGCATGACCGGCAGTTTTCCACAACTCTGCTTGGCGAAATTTACATTCTAGTTGAATTATCAAGAAATCAACTCTGGTGTAACTTGCTTTCAAAGAGTTATCACAGAGAAAAAATGGAAATGGAAATATTTACAAAGTTTTCTTTTGACATAATTACACTATTAGTACCAGAACAATTACTTTGGACATTTTACATTTTAGTGCTGTAATTATCTTTAGACCAAAGTACATTACCTGTTTATAGATGAGTTCTTCAATGTATGTTATGTTGTCTCTCACACTGGAACTCTCCAGCAGGCCTATTGTAAAGAAAAAGTTTCCAGTTTCATTTTTATTTTTTTATTCCAGTTTTATTACCTTTGCATGCAACATAGTATATAGTATTAATGATGATTGCAATTAAACTCAAACTCAGTACATACACATAACATGAAGTACGGAAAATGACAACTAAAAAAATAATCCCTAACTAACTCACTGTGTTCTGTCTGTAGATAATCCTCAAATCCTCCTTTAGTTTTCTTCCCCAGAATCTGCTCACAGGCTCCAATGTCTATATATATAAACAAATAAAAGAATTTTTTTTCAAATTTTGAAATGAACTACAATATGTACATGTACATTCAGGGCTACAGTAAAACTTATAACGAAGTCACTGGGATCTATTAAATTACTTTGCTATATCCGTAATTCGTTATTTTCGTATAAGGAATTCCTTGAAATATATACCATGTTATATGGAGATCCAAGATAACTTTGTTATCCCTGAGAATTCTTGTTCTTACTTAAAACAAGTTTTACAGTATAAGCAAGCTTTTTCAAATATTCTACATAGTAACAATGAGTTCCTTGATTTATTTAAATTTATTATGGATAACTGGAGTTGAACTTACGATTGGCTAACACAGATTTTTGTTCTTTGAGTCTTCTAAGTTCATTAGCAACAAAGTCCTTCATATCTCCAACAGACTTGAGTCCATGTCTTTTCTGTAAGACACAATCAAAGATACTGAAAAATTGCTCTTTCAGCTCAGATCAGTAAAGATAATCCATACCGTAATAAGGAATCTGAAATTTTGTCTCACATTTCAATATATACCAAACAACAACATGTACCTCCGAAAAAAAGTCCTACCAAAATGTGGTGATCTATATTGTGAACTTAAAACCTCAGTAAATCATTCTCTTTGTGACAGAATTTAGTATTTTGTATATTTTCTGTGAAAGCTAGAGTTTGTTCCTTTCGAACAGGTGGTACAAGTAACCGATTAATCTTAATCTGGAGTTTACTTTACGGTTGCCAGCAGCTTTGTGGAATCCCTGTTCCTACATCGATATGATGTAATGTCTAGTTATGATTGTTAAAACATTTCTTTTTGATATGTATCAATATTTGCACATCATCAACATACATATACTGTACAAAGGTTGGTATGAATTATTTATAATCAATTTGACTGAGAAAAATCTTTTAAAGGCAGTACAAAAACAATTACCCATCTGTTGATCAGTAAATGAAAACATTAAACTACCAGAATGCCTCATTGTTTGACATTTTACAGCAAAAAGTGTTTTTACTTACATCAAAATCCTGCTGGAGTAGCTTGGCCTTTGAACTTAAATATCCTAGGACATGGGAAAAATGACGATTTCTGACGTCTTCAAATATCTACAGAGAGAAAACATCTAGATTTATTATGTTGGCATATCAATTTTGCTAATTACTTGAAATCACTTGCAATATCACTGAGTCTTAATTTTTTTTTTAAAATCTTCTTTCACCCTGACATAATAGCAATATATATACAATGTACATGTACAATGTGTCCATAAAAACATTAAATTTCATACTAACTACATCATCTGAATTAAGTAGTAACTTGGCACTCTGTTGTTTCCCAGTAACTTCTGGTCCAAATTCAATGGCACCTAAAAAGAGAATACCTTGTGCTAAACATTTGATCAAAACTACAAAAAATATAAACTTAAGTAATCCCCAATATTTACCTCAGTTAAAGACATATAAATTAAAGATTTAACGAAGAAGTAAAGTTAGACTCATAGTTTCAAGCCACGGTTCGGACTCTGCATACAGCTCTCTCCTACTCGTGGCTGCTTGATCACATAAATTGTCTTAATCTTGAATATTTAAGCCTCTATGCTGTGACTTCATGTTCAGCCAATGACAATATTTGTTTCCATCACAATTGAAATCAACACTGACATCATCAGAACACAAAAATATTTTGTAAACTGCTATTGGTTATTGAAAGGTCTTGGCAAAGTTTATCTACCAACTATGCTTTACTCGCATTGGTCAATATTTTAATGAAGTACGAAATATTCTCTTCTCATTCAACCACGGCCAGAATGGGAGAGGATTGTGGTTTGCGACGATGAGTTAGATTGACATTTGTACAGAGGTAAATTAGCTACGAGTGTGTTATATCTTACCACACTTGATGCCAAATGTTTCATCAAGGAGGCCCTCATATGTAAGTTGTGAACACAATGGAGTTACATAATCCACATCTACAAATCAAACACAAATCATCAGATACTATAATCCAGGTTCATACCTATACATTTTCAATACACTATCAGGATAAGTGTGCTTACCTCTGATTATCAGGTTTAAACAACCTACCTCTGTTTATCAGGATAAGCTACCTACCCCTGTCTATAAGGATAAGAGTGCCTATCTCATGTCTACTAAAATCCTGGTCAGATGAGCTTCTTTTCATCAAAAAGTTCATCAAATCATTTGTCATCTATAAAATATCCAAAAAATTAACTTAAAACTGTAAAGCTCCTAAAAATTATTATTATTTAATATCTTAACTTTTATAAACAGCATTATTTACATTCCCTGATCACATTAAAAAATTCCCATGGCAAATTATCTTTGACCTACCTTAGCCCCTTTACCTATACAATGTACATGGCCGATTTCACCAGTAAGAGCTTGTATCCGCACAAGGGATTTGGCTACAGTATGTATCCAAGTCTGATCGTTTTCCTGTAAAGATAGTAAGAAATAGCTTGCGGGCTATAAATATGTCTGAATTTACACACTGCATGTCAACAGGTATGGTATTCTGTAGTTTCAATTAAATATTCTTTCTAATTCTCTATTTAGTATCAGCAATAATGTGCATATATGTGTATAAATGTCTACTTACAAGATAAAATGTTTTGAAGAATTCTGGTAGTTCCAGAGATAGAATATCTTTGTCTAGAGGAAGGAAGTCTAATTGAAATTCACTCAAAGTCACATGACCAATTACCCCTTCATACTCCAGAACAGACAGGCAGGTATGTAACTAAAATAATAAAAAAAATATATTAACATGTATTTAATAATATACATATATATAACCATTATATATAATTTATTTATATATTATAAATTAGAACTCTATCATGGTACATTTTTGTTTTGATTAAGTGGAAGAACTGCATGATAAATGTTCCTTAGTAATATTCAAGCCAAAATTTATCAATCTGTTAGACATGTAAATACTGTTTTGTAAATAGTTCTCTAGTATACAAAGTATATATACATGTATGACATTGATGATTAAAAAAAACTCTTCTTACTTTTCTTGGAACAAATATAATGTTATATTTTCGTTTGAAGTTGATATTTAGATCGGAATTGATGTGGTCAGCAATAGCCTTCATTGTGGTCATCCTGGGTCGGACCAAGTAAATCCTCCTACAGCATGAAGTACATGTTTATTTATTGTGTCATTTATTACATTATAAATACAGAAGTCAGTTGGATGAGCCTGTCTCCTTGCATGCTGAAATTTTGTTTTTTAGCAGTCCGGTTTTCAAACTGTAACCAAACACCATATTCATTTTCATGACATATGCTCAAATTCTCAATATTGACAGTTGCATATTTTTCTCAAATTCTGTTGAGAAATATTAGAAAGCCAAGTCCTAGTCAATGCTCCTTGTCTTAAAGTTTATGGAGGTGGGACTTTCATTCTATTGTTATTGAAGTAGTGTCCTTGGTAAAATGTACACTGTATATCTAATTAGATGTTACCTGACAACTATGTCTTGCAAAATACAAAGATACATTTTAATATAATTTGCATGAAACACCTACTGTTCACAGCCATGCATAGCCTTTAAGGTACTGTCAAATTTGTAGATTTTCTCAACTCCTCTTTGCTGAAATATTGAAGAACAACCTCATAAAGAAGATAGTTGTTTAGTTTATTTTCATTCCAGAATTGAACAAATTTGTAGAAACTTTAAAAACTTATAAACTTTTAAATTACAAAAAAAGTAACCCATCTAAGCACAGTATTATTATTTTTCTATTTTGGTTATGGGCACACTTTTCATTAAAGCCAAATATTAGCTTCTGTATACAGGGTTATTTTCACCCAGTGTTATTTTCACTCTTTTACACTTGCTAACTATTATGCCCAGTTTTAAATTTGCCCATTCCCAGTTCTGTTTAAGAAATTATACAGTGATCTTTGATTTTGCCCCAGATTAAATTTGCCCAAATGTAACAAGGGCAAATGGGGCAAAAATAAAACAGAGGCGAAAATTTCCCTGTATACAGTATTCAGTAATTATTACATATTGAAGTGTACAGTTGTTGGCTTGTTGCTTGTTTGAATATGCTAATCTTACTGAGAAGTATTTGGCATGATTCTTTAAAAAGTATTTCTATAAAAGATTTTCACATGGTTTACCTTGAGAAGAGATATACTAGCAATTCTGTCTAGTGGTTTCATGAGGTCTCCATCAATAACCAAGTCCTTTTTCCCAGGCAACTAAAAAATTAAAATTAAAAAAGTGATGCTTCGGAAATAAGAGAATCTCTAACCAATTCTATTATATTAGGAGAACCCCAATGGATATATATGTATATATAATTTTAATCAATACCGAGGCGAAGCCGAGGTCATGATATTTTTTTTAACAAATCATATTCAACACCAAAAGAGTCCATAATTGTTTTATTATACAGTCCGAATTTGAATTAATAAAACATTGAACGCTGAATGACGACACCATTTTCATTAACAAATTTCCGTCGTTGAAAACAAATGTCGAGATTACCACCTCCGTGTTTTCCTTTCACTTTATGTGTAAGACGTCCAAATGTTTAATAATCCTGGTTTTGTTTATTTTTCCTGCTCCATATACGTAGCTCGTTGCGGCCGTTGCAACCATTGTTTACAACGTTGTTTGATGTTGATTGTGACACAATGCCACTACACGCGAACTTCCCGGTTACGACCTCAAATCCAGTGAATATATAGTGTTATGAACTGTTTGCGCTTGTATACATTATATAGGGAATATAAATAGACTATATAATAAATATGTATATATAATTTTAATTAATACTCATGATATTTTTTTTCAATCTCGGTGACTTGTAGTAAATGTAAATACAACCACGCCCACTTTTGCTGCCTGGTTTTGTTTAAAGTATATTCCCGTTCAGTGAACGTGATAGATGGTTTTTTTATGATTAAAGTATATGTAGGTGGATGGTTGATTTACTCTTATTAGGCCTACATGTTTATAATTTACTTTACCGAAACCGTTTTGGAAATGATATCGACAACAAGGACATAATGTCATGCTAAAGTGCTTGAACATTATCAATTAAATTTCATTAACAATAGTAAACATATTACATCATCCAAGAGGCTTGTAAGTTCATCTTTAGCGAGGATTTTTAATCGTTGAAAATCTGGAAACCCCTTTCCACTGGGGGCAGCCATCTTTCGATAAACTGGTCCTCGCATTGAAAATGAAAGTAGGACCAGTTTACAAAATCAGCCCCCCTTTTATGGCAAGCACATAACTCTCTAATGTCTTACAAATATAATTTGCCAAGTCTTGCTTTGAACTGGATTACATATGTCATGATAAAAGGGCATGAGAGCTTCATTGCTTGTTGTCATATAAACATATTTTATTTGTTTTTTTTTTATTAAACATAAGGCTACACTGGAAGTATATATCCAATTCCTAAACAGGCACTTGTTTCAGAAATAATTTTTTAAAACCATGCATATAGTATGTTTTATTATTATACTGCTGTTAAATAAATTATTTCCCAAAAAGTGACTGTGATCTTTATGACCCATTATCAAAGATTTGGGGGTATTAATTTATATTTTACAATTGTCCTGTCTATCCCTGGTTGTCTGTCCGAGTTCATCCAGAAAAAAAAAATTTCTTTACCTTATTTTGTGAGCTATGGCTTGCATACTTTACATGAGTATTCCTTGTGACAAGCTCTTTCATTGGGTAACATCACATCTGACCTTGGACTTTAACCCACTTTTTCAAAATTTTACCAAACTTAAAACTTCTTAAAATAATTGGCAACTTTCTTTTTGAATTGGAGCCGAGACTTTTATTTTTCACAGGTATATTTCTTAGGACAAGAGCTTCCCTTGGGTTCAGAAAATCTTAGAACCTCTGATTATGGAGTTTCACCTACTTTTGGTAAACTTGAACATCGGCCATAACTTTTGAGCATTTGGTCATGTTTCACAGGTATATTCCTTGTGACAGAATTTCCTTGAGTAAAAAGACTTTTGGTCCCTTAACCTTGACTTTTCGTTAGAGAAAGTGAGTTGCCAGAGATGGGCATCAGTGCTTTATAAAGTTAACAAATCTACCACTTTTTTCTATATATATTTCAAAATTTCCTCAACATATGCACAAACTAGTTTTGCAAAAACAGAAAAAAAAATCAAATATAGATTTAAGTAGGACTTTACTTCAAAATTTAGTTTTTGATAAATATGAATTACAAAATACATATACATTAAATGTCTCTAAATAGGCAAAAACATAATCTTGACATAAAACAGCAAGCTTCACATTTGTTCAATATGAGGGGACTGATTTCAGCGATCTGTGAACACATTGTCATAATGCACAGTGAATCTAATCATTAGGTATGGTTATGCCTCTGGTCCCTCTGAGGCCTCTGGAGGGGCAGCAGGAGCACCTCCTCCGGGGGCACCACCCATGTCTCCCTGCTTCTTCACTCCGGATACAATGTCATCAATTCTCAGAAGTAATACAGCAGTCTGCAAGAAAAAAGAAGCAACCAATAAAGCGAGGTTTATGTGTGAATAAGAATCCTGAAGGAATGCTGAAATTCTCCATCAAACAGTACAATGATGGAAATGTACAGAAAGATATTCTATTTTACCTCTATAGCAGTTTTATAGGTTTGGACTTTGACTGCAAATGGTTCCCAGATTCCATAATCCTTCATGTCCACCACTTTACCAGTCTCTCCATCCACACCCCAGCTGGTGTTGTTGGCAGTGGCATGCTTAGCCTAGTTGAAAGAAAATCATTAGTTACAATCATTCTACATCGAAATTCATTTCCTACCTTAATCAGTTAAATTCTTTTTTTCAGCAAAGTCTTGAAACAGCAGCTTTTTAATAATCCTTTTAGCAGAAAAATTGCTACAAAAATTCCAGTCTAATAAAGATGTTGACTTACTCTGAGGGCAGTAAGAGTTCTAATTGTGCTGGCTCCACAGTTCTGAATTAGAGTCTTAGGAATGACCTCCAGGGCTCGACTTACGGCTCTGTAGGGCCACTGGTGTACCCCAGTAATACTCTTGGCTTTCTCATTCAAAGCCTGAAAAATTGATTTATAAGTAAATTAAGTCTACCAAGGTCTGATCTTGATTCAGGTATATCTAAACATTTTGATGTTAACCCCCCACCCCCCTCCAAAAAAAAAGAAATGGAGGATGTGCCCCCCAAACATAAAATAGCATTTGCACACTTCTTCTAAGTAGATGATTTAAATATTTATGGGTGCAATTTTAATTTCATACACATAGCAATCTTTAATATTCTTGATTACAGATGAAAAAATCAAATCATAAGCTTCGAGGGAGGTCACTGTGAAACAAATTATTCTCAAAATCATAATGCATTAAAACTGTATTCCAATTTCGAGTAAAATTAATTTTAATATCTGAGATTTCAGAATGAAGAACTATTTTCAGTCCAGTCAGTGAGTGTGCTGAACAGAGTTGAGATAAGATCATGAAACCATTTTTAAGGAAAATTTAAAGGTCTGTAAACCAAAAAGTAATTTCCAAAGTAGTTAAAAGCTGCATTGGAAATAAATATCAGTCCGTGTAGCTCTATACATGCGTCTTACCTGAGACAGTGCCATTTCTGCTGCCCCACCCCCAGGAACAAGGTAAGGTTCCAGCATCACATTCCTACACACATTCATGGCATCCTGTAGGTTCCTCTCCACTTCCATCAGAATATCCTTGCTGGCTCCACGGAGCAGGATTGTACAGGCCTTGGGATTCTTACACTCCACCAAATATGTGAAATACCTTATTAAAAAAACAGAAATTTGTATTTCTGTAATAAAAAAGGCATCCGTGTATTCAAGCAAAAAGCATAAGTTAATTATCTTGAATCAAGTTTAGAAAATATCCATCACCTTTATACACATTTTAAAAATTCTTGTGCTTTTATAATGACCTTTTTTCATTTCATAATGATTGATATACACTAAACTTACTCGTCACCAATCTTTTCAATGTAAAACAGTCCACACTCTGTTCCAACATCTTCTTCTCTGATCTCGTCGGTTCTGTTGACAATGGTTGCTCCACAAGCACTGAAAGCACAAGAAAGTATTCACTTTAATTGACATGGACTTTTTTATTATCCCTAGCTTTTCCATACCTGCTTTGGATTTAAAATTTCTTTCACTGGTCAACTTCCTGCATAATGATATTCATTTAAATTTTTTAACTGAAGGAAAAATGGTACTTCAGCATAAAAATTCATGATCTACCCAGTCTTTTTTAAGCTCAAGTAAATACAATGATATCAAGCTATGGAGACTTGTCTCTACAGACATAGCTTTTAAGTACCGTGCTATCCTATTGTTGTCGGACTTTCGTACTCTTCGGATACAACTAATGCCTGCCTTCACCAGGAAATGCTGGGCCAGATCTGACACGCCCTTCTCTGTAATGACCAAGTCTGGTTTGACGGCGATCACTTCATCACAGATCTTTTTAACGTATTCCTCCTCCATTTGCAAAATCTTACTGAAAAACAAAATTGTATGTCCAGATTCCAGAGCTTAGGAATTTCTACTTTTTTTTTTATATGAAACTATTATTATTCATGAATCTGATCTCAAGTAACAGAAATGTGTACATGAATTTCACAACTTTATTCAGGAATACTGTATACTTACGAGAAGTCTTCTTCTTTTGTAATTTCAATGTTAGTCTGCAAAAAAGAAATCAGTGTTTTGGGTAGAAATTTATATTTTGAGTAAAAGCTATTTACATGTACGTCTATAATGAAGCTCATCCCCCCACCCACCCCAAAAAACATAATTACTATTCATTTATTAAGCAGGGAGGTGGTACAAAAATCCACTATTCTTTAAGTCTACTACTTTCATGAAATTGTTGTTTTTTTTTTCATTTCAAATGTAATTCAATATTTTTGAATTTAAATTAATTAATTAAATTATTTAAAGTAATAGTTGTCCTCTATTTTCCCAAAATGAACAAACAAATTAAACTATTCTTTGAGATAGAATTTTTTACATTCATTGCACTTTAAATGCACACAATAGGAAGTTGGTTATCAGTGCAGCACTTTTAATTACCTGGCTCTCTCCTTTCTTGTACTCTAGGTTACAATCCAACAATAATATTCTAGGGTTTTCTATTCTCCTGCAAAATAATCATCTTTCACTCAACATTTCCAAAATATATGAGTATTTTTTCTATTATACATTTATATCTGTGTAGTCATTATTTACTTTCTTTAAATTCTTTTAATTTTGACAAACCTTTTCATTTTGGGGTGAACAATATCTTTATTAAGCATGACTCCAGTTAGGACTTTGGAATCTTCTATTGTACCACCAGGAATCTGTAAAAAGAAATTTAATTTATTATGATAAGGTGTCAAGTTTCAATCCATGGACATGTTCATTTTAGCATATTCTATAACACAACACCATATGAAAAGAAGGTATTTTTCCATTGAGATTTTAAAAGATTTGAAAGTCCAATGTATTCAAACAGATGTACAGTAGCATGTTCATCCTGCTATCAAAGTCTGATCCGTTTTGTTGTGAAGGATAATGAAAAATAGTTTACTTCATTTAACTATTCTTCTTTAAGGTAAGATAATCTACAACACTTACTTTTTCTACTTTGGCATATCTTTTAATATCAATTTCTCTTCTTCCATTTTCTTCTAAAAGGACAGTAGATGTAGCTTTCAGGGCAATCTCACAAGCCAAATTAGCCCTAAAATAAATACAAAAATACTAAATGAAACACAAAATAGCTAACTTCAAACTTGGCTATCTAGGATTTACCAGTAACATCCACATGTACATGTATGCACAGTAAGACATATCTTTGAAAAGTTATTTGAATATCTACTTCATCAAAATTGTTACAAACCACCTACCATTTGCTAATGAATTTTGTTCCTACACAACTTTTGACGATCTTCATCATCTCATCTCTGTTTGTGATGTCAACTGGAACACTGCAAGAAACAGTAATCAGGTGTTGTTAAGAAACCAATCAATAGCCCAAACTTAAGATGATGCAAATATTATACATGTTTATATGTTGAACACAACTTTGTCATCTTTTGGAAGTAAGCCAACTTAGATTTACTTTTTAAAGTGTCATGAACATTTCATATACATTTTCAAAACAATACAATTTTCAACCTGGTTTTATCTCAATCTGTCAAAAG